CAGTCTTAGGAACAGGTTCAAAAGAGAAGAGGCCTCCCTGGTGGTGCAGGGATTAAAATCTCAGCACTTCAAGGCTGAGTTCAGATCCCCGCATGATTTCAGTCCCCAGCCAGGGAGCTGACCCACAGGGCGCAGCAGACCTCTCCTGTCTCACCCACCGCTCCCTCCGCAGTGTGTTTCAGCAGACTGGCCTATTCTGCTCCCCACTGTCTCCGGTGAATTCTCCCATTCCCTGCACCTCTGGACTGTACCCCAGTTCTTGTATGTGGAAGAAAGAATATAAAGCCCAAAGGAGGCATCACAAGGCTAACTCACACAAGGAACTGCAGGTACAAGGAATTAACATAGGGATTGACCCGCTATTGAAACAAAGCAGGGACTGCTGAAGGCTGCATCTAGAGCACAGACCCAAAAGGTGAAAGACAAGGACACGGAAATGAGCCCATTGTAGAATCTCTGGTCCCTTTCAAATCCTGCGGCATAGCCATCCAAAATCAACAAATCCAGGCTCACCAGGAGTGAGCCCCTCCCACAGGGAAGTCTCAGAGTAGTCATCACTGGCGGGGCAGCAGTCCTCTGTCCACCTTGTGCCAGTGCAGGTGCTTCTTTCCACCCGCTCTGCCCCTCCGCATGGCAGCAGCCTCCTACCTACCTGTGACCTGCGCCTGCCAGAACCCGTCTGCACTGACCTCCCTCAGCAGAGGCCACTCTCAAGGCCGCCCGCCTGTGACCATGAAGGCCGCTCTTCCTGCCTGCTTGTGCCCATGCAAGTATCCTTTACTCCTCTGTCCTTTTCCTAGTAACCTGCTCTTATTAAATATAACTAACGTGTCTGTCTCGTGGAGAAGCTCGCCCGGGGAACCCAATGCTGAAAGGGGAGCCCTGGTGAAACTTTTCCTAGGACTCCAAAAAAAAAAAAATCAACAACATATGCATAAATAAATCTTTAAAAAGAGAGAGAGAATTTGTACTGCTAGTAAAGTTTCCTGTGACTAGAACTAGCTGGAAAGTAAGTTACTTTTCAAATCCCTCTCCAGAAAAACAGACAAGACACTGAAATCGGTTAGGGATACAAGGCCAGACCAGATCCAATCCATCCAATGTCGTGGGTATGACTGTCTTTGTACATGTCCCCACGTTACTGAGCCATTGTGGGAAGATTCTATTAGTAGACAGTATGTGTTGGGTGTTGCAGATGACCCAGGCTGTGGTAGAAGGAGTTTTTAAAATTCCAACTTTCTCCATCACTCCACAAAGAATAAATAACACTAAAAATCTGGTAAGATAATTCTAGTAAAGTTCAAAACACAAAATCAATATCCAAAACAAAGTCGTCTTTCTGTGCCCTAACGACCCATCAGAGACAATAGGAAAACAACAGCATTTGCAATTGCATCAAAAAGACCAAAATAGGGCCTCCCTGGCTCAAGGGGTTGAGTCAGCTCTATCAAGAGCTGAAAACACAACTAAATGAAAAAATACACTATGTGCTTATGATTGCAGTAATTAATATTACTGAAAGGTGCAGACTTCCCAAAGCATAATACATATTCAACTGATCAAAACTTCAATGCCAGTTTTCACCCAATCGGGAGTAACCGTCCTGAAAGGTGTGGGGGCACAGAGGACCCGGAACTGACAAAAACCAAAAAACCAGCACTCTGGAGAGTGACGCTGCTCCCAGACTTCAGACTGTTAACTGCACAGAAAGTCTCAACTTGAAGTTAAGGATTTGAACCTAGGAAGCAATGTGAAAGATTTTATTCCAGAAAAACCAGAGTTTGGATTTAGTTTCTATGGATAGGAAAAGTGTACATTGCCTTTAGGAATGCAATTATTCTGGAGGGGGGGGTGGGTGGTGGGGGGGTGCAGACTTCGGACCTGTCCAGTCCCAGGCATGTGCTGACCTGGACGGTTAACGCCCGCGGAGAGGCCCAGCTGAGCGCCCTGGGTCAGATCTTCCCCACCTGCCTCCGGGGTCCACAGTGGGGGTGACACCGGCTTCCCCTTCGGGGCAGACGCCCCCGACAGAACAGGGGAGCTGCTCAGATCGGGCGTTGCCCTCCTGCCTCACCTGGGGCCAGGACCGGGGACGTCAGCCCCAGAATACGTTACCCCCGGCCCCCAAACGCTACGGTCCATCCACGCGAGAAACACACGGGCCAGCGGGCAGAGCAGCGCAGGAGCCAGAGGGCCGCCAGGTGCCGTCCATTTGGCCCAAGGCGCCAGGGCAGAGCGCGCAGGAGCCTCTTCGGTCAGTGGAGGCAGGACACGGAGGGGTCACGCTCAGGAATGAACCCGGACCCAACAGTGAGCCAGGCCCAACAGTGAGCCCCCCAAAGCCCCCTTGTTGTCTGCAGGCCGCCTTCCCGCACGGGGCCTCGAAGGGCCCCCTCCGCCGTCAGCCACCCACAGGGAGATGTCACCTCCCCCTCCTTTGGCTCACCTCCTCCTTTAGCGCGCCAAGGAGCGCCCCAGATCAAAGCGCTGATGGTGCCTCCTGCCCGCTGGGTCCACAAGCGCCCAGGCTCGCCCCACCGAGCCCGCTTAAACCCGAGGAAGTCGGAGGCGGCGGTGGGCTGCCGGCTGCGCGGTCCCAGCCGCGGCACCAGCGGACCCCGAGGGCTCGAGTGGGCGTGGCCGGACCGCCCCGCCCACCCCGGGGCCACGCCCACCCGGCAGTCCGGTCCGCTGCAGCCTGTCACTTTGGAAATTCAAACTCAAGTGGAGGTAAATACCCGGCATCTTCTCTAAAACCAGTGCCAAGGGCAACCCGGGAATTCCACTAACAAGGCAAAACGGTCTTCTTGGATTGAAAAGCTCGCTCGGGGTCACTTAACAACGATCGCCAAAGACGCAACACACCGGGTGTTGGTCTGGGGTAACAGAATGGGTGTGCGGATTCGCTCCTCCACTGCACTTGCCTCCCGCCTGGGGTTCTGACCGCTCCGCCCTCCCCCCACTTCCCATCATTTTGCTCCCAGGGGCCGCAGCACCCTTCCTCGCCACTAAGCGGCGCCCTCTGTTGTTTCTCTGAGCTTAGCCTCGGCCCTTTCTGCCACTCTCCCGTCGTTTATTTATTTGTCTGTCCTCTGGTTGTTTCCTCTGCTTTACGCAGATACTGTAATTCACTCAGCCATTCCCTAGGGCTTTCGTTCAGATTATTTACAATTACTTACCACTATAAATAAATGAGTATCCTCTCTCCTTCATTACTGTAGGTCTTTCCTTAGGCCTATGATAAGAGAGAAGTCTCCATAATTAACACCCTGAGCTTCACAGGTGTTGTTTAGAATATAGATGCATGCAGCCTTATGACCTTGGAAAGTCTTCACACACACACACATACACACAAGTGAAACCTCAGTGGAAATACCCATATACTGAACTCTTGCTTCCTTTAGGTGCTGAAAATTTCACAATTTCCTAGAAAAGTATAAACAACTGAAATCTTGCCCTAACTGAACATTCCAAACACCCAAGTGAATATTCCAAAATATCACACGCCTCCTCCAGGAAACCCAAAATCGAGAGTCAAAGTGAATGGGTTGGGTCAGGCAGCAGGGAAATGGTTTATGGAAAATTAATGACAAAAATCTACTCCCTGCAAAGCCCCTTTACTTTTGAATTATTCACCAACATCCCCAATCTCTCCTCCTTCCAAACTGCAATTCCCAGTTTTCATAAATCTTGACAGTCTCCAGCCCTTTCATCCCTTTCCACTAATAGCTCTTTTCCATTACCTTCACTGACTATATTTAAATACTCACAACTTGCCATTAGAAACCATTTTTTAAAGATTTATTTATTTATGCATACAAGAACTGGGGTACAGGCTAGAGATGTGGGGGGTGAGAGGATTCACCAGAGACAGAGTGGAGAGCAGAACAGGCAGATCTACGAAGTACACTGCTGAGGGGAGCAGTGGGCGGGTCATGACAGATCTGCTGTGCCATGAGAGTCACCTCCCTTGCCAGGGAATGAACTCATCCTGCAGTGGCTGTGGACAGCTTCCTAGTGCTGCACTCTAACCCATAGCACCACCAGGGAGAGCCCTAAAAACCATTTTTAAGCAGATGCATTTCCACTGAACTCTTCCCACTCCCAGCCATTCTCACCTAGTTTCTAGAATCCTATCAACAGAGCAAGGTGGGTGTGGGGCTGAGGGGGGCAAGCAGACAAGCCAAGCAGTATAATTCTCCTGCTTAGAAACGACTTCTGGTTCATTATTCACTACCACAACATTTCAAAATTTAGTTAGTTTGAGGCCATTACAGTGAATGTTTACAGCATTCTAACTTCTGAATACTTCACCAAGATTTTACTATCTTTGTAAAATAACTGCTTTTGGAAATAAGATATGCATTACCAAGAATGCCTATTAAATGGTAGAAAATTTTTCTGAAATGCACAGCCTATAGGTACAGTTCTTTGTCAAAATCTCCCTCAGAACTACCTTAAATAAAAATTCGGGTAATGCTAAACTATAGAGATACAAAGCCCTGAGCTGAGTCCGTGAAGCAGCGGGTTCACGTGGAGCTCAGCTTCTCTTAGCTTCTCTCAGCTTCTCTCTTCAGCCTCCTTAGCTGTCTCCTTACAGTCACTTTAGGGATCAGCAGTATGAAGCTAGTCAGCTTTTCCTAAACACACAAGACTCTTTTGGAGGCAGAAACAAAGTTAGAGTCTAAGTGAGAGTACCACCTGGAACATTCATAAATCTGGGCAATGTAAACCTTGAGTGGCTTGAGGGAGGGGGAAAAAGACAAGGCACTCACTTATTTGAAGAAAAGTGTGGTAGAGGATCAACTCTAAGACTCAGTGGAATGAAACTTACTACATTAGCACAAATCAAAAAATAGTTTATTCAGAATGTTTGATTTTGAATAATTTCTATATACACATACAGGTCAGCACTTATATCAGAATGCAAGCAATTAGAGTATCTGTGGCCTCATTTCAGTTTTAGTAAAACATCATGGAAATAGCAAAGAGGATGCTATTCATTCAATATCGTCATATATAGGGTCCTCTTCCTCCCCAGGGAGCAGACAGGACCTGCCTCCTCCTTTCTCAGGATCAGCTGCTCCCCTAGTGACCTGCAGAGAAGAGTCTAACACGGTGAAAAGAAGTTTGATTAGAGCTGTGGCAAGGGGACAGAAAGTGAGTCACAGGACACGTAAGTGTCGTGAGAAAGCATCCCTGGAGACCCCACAATTGCAGGGGGCTAAGACTATTTCATAGCACATATATCAATGACTGTATCTGAGAAAACCTATCAGGATCAAGTCCTTGTGTTTCTCTGGGTCACCAATGGTCTGTGGCCACACAGAGTGGTCTGTGAAGACCTGTGTCCTGGTCACCCAGTCAGCAAGGAGATGACCCATGAACAGGGAGAATCATAAAAAAGAAAGTGAGAAGGTCTCCTTTCACAATTGCCAGGTCCGAGTTTCCACAGATAAGGAGCGAGGAGAGCAGAGCCAGAGAAGCTCAGCTCTTCCTGACAGTCTACCTGCCGAAGGTGGCCTTGACATGTGTATCCGTCCAGCACAGTCATCCCCTCCCACAATCCCTTGGGCTTCTTTCCTGAAAATGATTGTCTTCATTTGCCTGCTGAAATGTCTTGAGCAGAACAGCTTGTGACTGTTAGAATTTCGGAATCTAGAATCTACAACAGAACTTATTTTTTAAGTCCCCATATATCACAGATGTTGTATATATTAGTGCTAAAATATTGAATCAACAAAATGTCACAAATTCCATAAATACAATGTCTCATTAATTCTCTAACTGCCTTTCATGAAGACAACATAAAAATGTTACCAGAACAGTAGTTCCATTTTTCAGAATTGGTAAAAATGCTCAATTAATCTACCTCTCATAATGCATCACATTAAAATAATGTTATGAAAAAACACAAATACCAACATCACAGCTGTTTCCTCCCTGGCACCTGCCAGCATTAAGGAAAGGAAATAGTTGAAGTGATTCTGTCAATATATCACATCACACAAATTTTGAATATATAGGATGAGAAACCTGGGAGAGCTCCAAAATCGCCCTTTCTTGGATAGAAGCAAGAGATCGGAGATGAACCTCCTCTCTCACCTGTTTGAGTGACCGCCCCATTCTCCTCCTGTAAGTTGACTTCCTCTTCTCTCACTCCTGATGCAGGAGGAGCCTTAGGCATTTGCACAGCTGTAACATCATCATAATACTCTTCTGGGGCACTTGGTGTCTGAGCTGAGGGATCTAAGGATGAACAGGAGGTGAACAAGTGACATCACAGTAAATGGATGGGGTATGTAAGGTCTAAATACCTGTTGACACAAGAGTCTGATGGCTTCTAAATAGAGGAACCATTTACTCTACATTTAAGGGGTCCTTTTACAGGCCATGTATTTCATTGTGAGATGCATAAGTCAGAAAAATTACCCACATAATTTAGAGGCACGCTGGGATCATGTAGAGAGAAGTCCTGGAGCCCCTGTGAGATCTGGAAGGTCGATGCCTTGCGAGCTGGGAGAAGCGGGCATGGGGACCTGAGGACGCTAGGCTCACGGCCAAAGGGTGGCTGAAACCAAAGGCCCCAGGAGGGCTAGGAAGGACACACACCTGCACTGCCCAGCGGATCCTTCCTCGGTGATGCAAGATTTTCAATGTCCTCGTACAAAGCATCATCAACAGCAGCTTCAAAACTGTGTACAACTGAGCAAACCACCAGCAGGTCAGAAGGACCAATGTGAGACACCCCTGAACCAACTGGCTAATCCTTCACACTCCCAGTGCTCGCACATGGATGTAAGCCCTACTGGGTGCCAGGACCCCTTTATCTCCCTTACCTCCAGCATTTTGTCTGTCCCTTCTGCCCCCACTGACCCCAGGCCTTCTCTCTCAGCTTCCCTAAAAGGCCATGGCCTATGCATTCTACCCCAATCCTGGGGGCCTCTGTTATTCAGCCCTCACAGGCTAAAGGGCCAGGTAGTGTTTGCCAACTAATGGGGTAAGAACAGAGACTTTGCCCACTTGTACCCTTGCTATTCCTGACCCCCTTTCTGCCTCTAAACCCTGTTCCAGGCTCCCCAGGGCCCAACTGCTCACCTCTGTGCTCCGCTCTCCATCGGTACAGCCAAGTCCCCAGGATGATGAGGACCAGAAAGAAAAGGTACCCAAGGGTGAGGCAGAGGATCCCAGGCAGGGAGGAGGTCCAAAGCAGGTTGGCCCCTAGGAGAGCAAGGTTGAGAGGGTTTAGAGAAAGCTAAGAGCAAAAGGGCCCTTCCCTTCTGCCAGCATTTCCAGAGGGCACAGACAGTGAAGTTCCAACCTCAGATAGGTGACTGACTGGGGTGTTGGTGGACAATCAGTGCAGTGGGAAGTACAAAATAATATCTATGGTTTGTGGCAATAAAATAAAGGATATTAAAGAAAATAGAAAGTCCAGGATTATAGAAATAGCTAATAGTCAACACTCCACTTACACTTTTTTTAAAGATGTATTTATTTATGCACACAGAACTGGGGTACAGGCCAGAGGCTCAGGTGCGGTGAGAGGATTCACCAGAGACAGAGTGGGGAGCAGAACAGGCAGATCGACAAAGTACACTGCTGAGGGGAACAGCGGGGGGTCAGGAGAGGTCTGCCGCACCATGTGGGTCACTTCCGGGGCAGGGATCGAACTCATGTGGAAATGGCTTTAGCTTCTTAGTGCTGTGCTTTAACCCGCTGCGCCACCAGGGAGGGCCATCCACTTATACTTTTAAAGGAAAGTTTATATAACAGATCAACCAAGAAGCCTCAGATTCTGATCTATCATGATGATCTGTCATTCATCAGTGACAGCCAAGAGGCTAAACAAATTCCTCTTACCAGAAGTGTTTCCTTGGACTCTGCCCACGAGAGGTCTCTGCCCTGCTCTGCCTTCCAGGTTCCCCTGCATTGCTACCCACCCTCCTCCTCTTGCCATGTCAGCATTTTCTCAGGACCCAGGATTTACACTGACCTAAATAAGCTTTTCACTTCTTCATTTAAAGCACTCTCACTCACCCTTCATCTCCATCAGTTACAGCCACATGCACACACTTCCACAGACTTCCCAGTCCTCATAACATGTAACATCTGCCTAATCAGAATTTACAGCTGGGATTTTATGTTCTATGAAGGCAGCCATTCTACTTCTCTGTCTTCTGGCCTGGATATCTTATTCTACCAGATATGATTTACTCTCTGCCAGCAGACTGACTAGGAGTCTGACTAGCACAGATGCATTTTGATGCAAAAAATCCAGGAGCATAAGAGACACAGAGCACAGGACTTGGCCCTTACTCACTTTCAAGGTGTTCAGCATAGTACTTAGCGAGTCCTCATTAATTAGCCATTCTTTATAAGTCCATCAGAGGTTCAATGTAATCATCCTGGTATTTTTCACATAAACTGCTGTCAGCACAAACAGCAGTGGAACATGCAGATTAAATACTTACCAAACTTTGTCTTAAAGACTCAAGGTAAACTCATAATCTAAATTTGAAAATATAAAACAGCAATAGCAACAGCACATGGGGTGGAGACAGACACACATGGCAGTCACCTGCACACGTGATAGAAGCTTCCTCTCTTGCAGAGCACGAACTGTATTTCCAAGGGTCAGAAGGACACTGCCAGAGAGAGGTATCCATCTTGCGACACTGGATTCCGTCTACCCACCGGGGTCTAGAACCTTCCCTAACAGCAACCGAAGAGTTGAGGGTCCCGCTGTCCCCACAGCCAAGCTGTCTGCAGATCACGGACAAGGTCATGGCGTCCATGGGGCTGTTGCACACACTGCCCCAGGTCCCGTTGTAGAAGACTTCCAGCCACCCGGCACAATTCTGGTCCTCGTTCACCAGCTTGAGGGCCAGGAACTCTGAAAGGGAAAGGGGGAGACGGGGCACCATGAGCACCCCACTCAGCACTCTGGTCCATCATCGGGGAAATAAGGCTAGATGCTGCTTCCTGACAAAACTACAGAATATGAAAAAGGGGGTGTGGTGAATGTGGTGGGGCAGAATAAAGCCCCGCCCCCAAAGATGTGGGCATCCTGATCCTTGGAACATGAGTATTACCACCTTATATGTGATGCCTTGTATGGAAAAGAGATTGTACAGGTGTGATTTAAGGACTCTGGAAAGATATCCTGAACCTGGATCAGTAATAAGCAACCAGGTGAGTTAAGTGTAATCACACATTAGATCCATTATCTTTGAAAAAACAATGCCATTTCTGGAATTTTTTCTAGAGAGAGGTGACTGCGGAAGAATGGTTATAGAGGTATAACACAGCTGGTCTGAAATTAAGGAAGTGAGCTCTGAGCCAAGGAGTGCAGAGTATTTCTAGAAGCTTGAAAGAACAAGAAGCCAATTGCTATGCAGGACCTTAGAAGTGACACAGCCCTGCTCACGTGCTGATTTTACTCAGGTGGGTGGGGCTAGACTTCAAACCTACAAAATCATAATACAATAAATATAACTTGCTTTAAACTATGAATTATGTGGTAATTTGTTACAACAGCAAATGGGCCCTGTACTGTGATGGTTAGGATTCTATTATTATAGGTAACTGAAGAATGAGCCCCACTTGGATGGAGAAACTGTAGGTTGTGGCATCCCCAGGAGATGACCAGATCCTCAGCTGTCAAAGGACGGTTAAAGCACAGCACTATGAAGCTATCACAGCCACTGCAGCACACCTAGTCTTCACATGTGCTAGAGTCAGACGCTCCAGAGGAAGCTTCCTTCCCCTCTGCCCTTTTACATTCTGTCCTCAGAGCTCTTCCCCCACAGCCCTCCAACGCGTGAACAATGTGTGGCACAGACCTGAGCAGATGACCCCGGCATCCTCCCTGTGCCTGCAGTGATCATGGCGCCCCCAGCCCCGGGAAGGGCACTTCCACATGTGGGACTCCTTTCCTGTGCACTGCATCCCGTCCAGCCAGATTGGCCCTGATCCCTCCCCGAAGTGAGCTGTGGCATTGAGGGCCTCTCCACAGGCCAGCTGTCTGCACACCACGTGGGCATCACGCAGGTCCCAGCCGTCATCACACACGGTGCCCCAGGAGCCCTGGTGCAGGATCTCCACTCTGCCGGCGCAGGGATGGCCTCCGCCCACCAGGCGGAGCTGTGGGCTGTCTGAGAAGAGAGGGTCAGGTCAATGGGGCCTTTAAGCTACAAGGAGACTTTTCTGGTTCTGGAGACTCCTCACCTAAGCAGTTGGCCACACCTTCCTCTGAGGCTGCAGAGCCTGCTGGTGAAGACAGGGAGTGGGTGCACAGGGGCAGCCCCTGGGTCTGGTTTCCTGCAGAGCAGTGAGGTCAGAGGGTGAGTGTGGTCCAGGTTTAGAAAACGGAAATAGGGCCCTCCCTGGTGGTGTAACTGGTTAAAGCACAGCACTATGAAGCTATCACAGCCACTGCAGCACGAGTTCAATCCCCAGCCAGGGAGCTGACCCACATGGAGTGGCAGACCTCTCCTGACCCACCCACTGCCCCCATTAGTAGTGCATTTCAGTATATCGGCCTGTTCTGCTCCCTACTATGTCTCTGGTGAATCCTGGCCTGTACCCCAGTTCTGTATGCAGAAATAAATCTTTACAAAAAAAAACTGAAATAAACTGCATGAAAACCTCATGGAGGGGGCTGAGATGAATGATGTAGCAAAAAAATATAAAGATAGATCACTATCTTGTACCACACACAAAAGCCAACTTGAAGTGGACTAAAGAACTAGACATAAGACCCGAAACCATCAAATATCTGGAAGAAAAGGTGGGTGAAACACTGTACAACCTCAATAACATCTTTAAAGATACATCACCCAAAGCAAGAGTGAAGGAAAGGATAAACAGCTGGGACTACATCAAGTTAAAAAGCTTCTGTACAGCAAAAGAGACATTACACAAGAGATTGGGAGAAAAATTTTGTACACAATAATAATAATAAAGGACTGATCACAAAGATATACAAAGAACTGATGAAATTCAACAACAAAAAAGTGAACAATGCCATCAAAAAATGGGCAGAAGAGCTAAAAAGACACTTCTCCAAAGAGGAAATGCAGACGGCCAACAGGCATTTGAAAAAATGTTCAACATCACTTAAAACCACAATGGGATACCACCTCACCCAAGTGAGAATGGCACATCTTCAAACAACTAGCAACAACAAATGTTGGCGAGGATGTGGAGAAAAAGGAACTCTCCTGCACTGCTGGTGGGAATGCAAACTAGTACAACCACTATGGAAAACTGTTTGGAGGTTCCTCAAACTGCTAAAAAGGCAATCCCACTTCTAAGTATCTATCCAAAAGACACAAAAACATTGTTTTTGCCCCTCCATGTTTATTCCTGCTCTATTTACAACAAGGAAGATGTGGAATCAACCCAAAAGCCCAAAAACAGATGACTGGATTAAAAAGATGTAGTATATATACACAATGGATTATTACTCAGCAATCAAAGAAGATTAACTCATGCCTTTTGCAGCAACATGGATGGAGCTGGAAGGGATCATGCTTAGTGAAATAAGCCAGAAAGAAAAAGAAAAATACCAGATAGTTTCGCTCATAGCAGGGGCGTAAGGGATTAGGGGGCAGGGGAAAAGCTATTGTAATAATAAAAAAAAAACCAACTATATACCAGAGACATTTTACAGGGGTGGAGAGGAAATAGGATCAGAATGGGGTGGGAAAGGTGCACAGGACTACAGTGATGGCACGCAGGTGACTTGGTGGTAGGAAGTCCATCTCAGGATTACAACCAAAATGGAAAAATTAATAAAATGAAGAATGATTTAAAAATAAATAAATAAAAAGAGTGTGTAGACCATTTACCAGACTGAGTGTACGTCATGCCAAAAAAGAGCTCCAATCAGTTTCAAATAAAAAGCTAAGAGAAAGTTATAATTCATAGTTTGACAATAAGTGTATTATGCTAATTTTTTTTAAAAACTGGCAAAAATATTAAGCCACATTAATATGTACTTCTCTTATAATAAAACACTCCTACATTAAAAGTACATATGGAAAGGTATCAACCAAGGCTTGTACTGCATAATCCACCCTTAATCTGAAGCCAGTTTTCCCACACCCTGCTCTGAGGGACCTGAGCCCCCCGAGTGCAGTCAGCCCCCTCTCACCTGAGCAGGTCACAGAGGCCGTGTGTCCAGGGCTGCAGTCAGGAGCGCCCAGGGCGGTCACGGGGCACTTCCACAAGAAGGGCTCAGCCCCTGAGCAGTGAAATCGGGCCTTCAAGACCTGGGCAGCTGCTCCCCCAGAGTGTGCTCCTTTGGGGGTGGACAGGGCGACCCCACAGCCCAGCTGGCGACACACAACATGGGCATTGGCCAGACTCCAGTGGGAGGCGCAGAGCGCGATCCAGCGCCCTGAAACACGCATCTCCACCCGCCCCTCACAGCGAGAGCTGCCACTGTTCATGAGCCGGACTTCGGTGTATACTGGAGGAGGAGACAGAGATTCAGCCAAAGCTCATGTGTTTCTTACCCAGCAGAGTAAGCAGGGAGGGTGAATCCTGCCCGGGCCTCACCTGAGCAGACGAGGCGAACAGCCCCGCGGTGGTGGCAGGTGCCTCCTGGACAGGGCACCCTGGGGCAGAGCCAGAGCCCCTGCTCCTGCCCTTCACACCAGAACTCCTCAGGCCAGACCCGTCCACCTGACTCTCTGAGGGACACACCCTCCTGGACAGATGCAGGTTTGCCACACCCCAGCTCTGCACAGATGACCTGGGCGGTGAGCGATGTGAAGTTCCAGTCAGACACTGGAGTCCAGTCTCCTCCAGAACGCACCTCCACTCGCCCTGAGCAGGGCTCATCTCCTCCAGCCAGACGCACAGCTAATCCTAGAGAAAAGAAAAGTGAGTGAGTGTCCATGACCTGCCAGTGGCATAGGAAACAGCATGTGCAGGCAATGATGTGGACTTTTCTAAGGACAGAGAGTGGAGAGAGAATCTGCCAGTCAAAATGGCATTTTCAAGAGTGAGTTTCTGAAGAGAAGTCCAGAAGGATTTTCAGAGTCAATTTGATGATTAAATCCCAACAACATGAACATTTTGAAGTGTTAGAATGTGAATCCTTACCTAGGGCTTAGGAAGTTACAGGACCTGAGGACATTGCTCTGTGGTGGGCGGTCAGACTTGCCCCTGAGATGGACAAGCCCAGAGTTAACAGAGCTGTGAAATTAAAGAGACCAGAGGCCTGTTTTCTAGATGCGAAAGCAACCTGGGATTTGGGGGGTTAGAATCTGGGCAGTGCTATCTCAGAAGCTGGTCCTCAAGTGACTGAGGAAAAGGAAAATCATAAGTCCTGGCCTGTGAGAGCTGTCACAAGAGAGACAGACTGGTGCTTGTGGAAAGAAATAAACATTAATGTCCATTTTTATGGTTTCACACTTTATTTTTTTTGATGGAAGAAATTCCAAGATTTTCTTATGTGACCGACTGTGAAAGAGGCTGTGCACGGATAATGTGGAGCTCAGAAAGCTTGTGGTTGTGTACAAGGAGCGATCCGGGTGTTTTTCGCTGAAGCCCTGCGGTCTTTCAGTGAACCAGCAGGAGAGTGGGAGCTCCTGGAGGTCATGAGACACCTGGATGTGCTGATCCCTCCTCGTACAGACTTCTTCCAAGACCAGAAAATGTTAAGTAATGAGAGCAATTAATGTATTTTAATCCTATCACTGTTAACTGGGTATTCCTGTCCTGTGTGGGTTCTTGCACAAGCAGCAATCAGTAAAAAGGAGAGAGGATAGGAGGGGAGCACACAGGTCATAATTAGGGTTGTACCAGCCTTTTAATATCAATGAAAGATTCAAATACTTGGAGAAAATATTTCTCAAACAAGATGTGAGCACAGTTTATCATCCTGTACTCTTCCTATCCACCAATATCCCTGTGACCCTTTCTCACTTCTTTTGTGTAGACAAGAAAAATCAATCTTAAGAGCTACAATTGGATGAAAAGAAGAATCAAAAGGGCAGCAATGTTTATATAAGGGGGCTATAGGTGGGGTGTGTGGTAGGTTATGCTGGGAGTGGGTGAAGTTGAAATTTAATGAGGGAGACCAAAATAAAGATTCACGATCATAATTTGGTCACTCCGGGGCCATATTTTGTATAAAATGAAATGAAAAAACTTCCAAATCATAAAGAATATTTTTTTATATGCATGTCTGAACTCTGAGTGTGGCATATTACTTATGGACATGGTAGAATTCTTAAAGGGTTCTGTATGAGTATGCAGATATAAAGCATGTAGGACAGAATTTCAGAGGAATGTTGTATAAAACTAAAAACATGCTATAGAGAGCAAAACAAAAGCAGACATGGCACACAGAAATTAAAGAACTTAAAGATAAGTGTGTTCACCTAATAAGAATGACTGGTGAGGTCACAGCTTGTCTTTTATTTTGACCTATTTCCACATCCCCAGAGAGGCCCAGCTCAGGACCTCCAATATGGGCTAGGTGGGAGGCTGGTCATAGGCTACTCTTCTAATTAAAGCACTTTTCACAGAATAGGTTTTTAGTTTCAATATCAATCTCATGAGATGACAAGCTCAGAATAAAAAAGAAATACTCTTGTATACTATTTTACTTGTTCTGACAATATTAGATACTCAAATATATGTTGAATGACTGATAAATTCTCAAACAAATCAAGATAGAAGCTTCGCAAAGCAAATTACTATTACTTCCTGCTCATGTTCTAATTGACTTTAAAGCCCACATAGAAGAAAACTGTATGATACCTATGAAATCAAAGGTAGATGTGAAGGAATCAGGTATAAAAAATAAAATCAATTATGTAACAATAGACAAGGGTAGGAAGGAGTCAATATAAAACATCTAATCATCTCAAAGATGCACAAAGAAATCTAGTATTTGTAAAATGAATATTTTAAATCATTGAGGAAGACACATTATTCAGCAAATAAAGTTGAAAACTTAGAGATAGATTTTAAAAATAATAAAATAATGTTCCCACTTGATAGTAATCTCAAAATAAATTTCTAGTAATTTAACATCTATATATAAGAAGCAAAGCAGAAAAATTGAGAGAAAAATAAATTGTATACATTCTTCAAAGAGAAAGGCTGACTGTAAGGAAAACTAATTCTAGGGTTTTTTTATTAGCATGATATTTTCCAGAATGTCATCTAATGCTGACCTGCTGATTTAAAGTCATTCACCTCTGTGATGTGACAGAAATCTTTTCACTGATCAATGACTTGAACAAGGTATTTTATTTATTTATTTATGCAATTTTTTTTAATTTTATAAAATTTAATCATTCATTTTCTTACATCATTGTTTATTTTTGAAAATTATTTGATTTCCCCCCTCAGGTACAGACCCCATAGTTCTCCCACCACCCTAGCACACATGACCCATATTCCTCTGTGCTCTTCCCTCCCCAACTTTTACCCCTCTCCCCTCCTGTCAGCCTTATACCTATGGTTGGCTGTCAGGTTTTGTCTATTACATGACCCTTTGCTCATTTTTTCTGTATTCCACATGTAAGTGAAGCCATCCAATATTTATCTTTTTTTCTATTTTATTTCACTTAGCATAATCCCTAGGGAAGTGGGGAACAAGGATGGCCAGGTTGGTTTTTACCACCTTTTTTTCCTTATTCCTTCCCCTCTGACCAGGACGGCCTCCTCTGTCCTCTCTGCAGCTATGACTCATCTGCATCCAAACCTACTTTCAGGGCCCCTGACCAGCAGCCTCGCCTGCCTCTGATCCTTCTGGGTCCTCATCCCTTCAGGCTCAGACTCTTCCATTGGAACAGAGCTCTGGGTGACTAGGAAATGTTTGCACTGGATGTGGCATTTGACCACCAGGGAGCCACAAATATTGAAGTGAGCTTTCTTGAAGACCAAACTCGTCCTCTACCTTGGGATAATGGGGCTGTCCCTCCCCTTGGAAAGCCACAGGTGGTCAGGGTGACCCTCCTGTCAAGGACAGCTAGGGACAAGGAGAGTGAGCTACAGGGGGTCCAGAAATGAGCCAAGATTGGGCCTCTGATTGGGACATCACGAAATGGAGATGAGGACGTTTCAGAGGCATCTTCAAGCTCAGCACAGGTGCTACCTGGGAAGAGAGAGGCAGTTGTGAGATGCCCCTTCTTATTGTTTTGATTCAAATACAGTTTTCATTTTAGACTTTGCCAAATTCTAGGAACTTTTCTAAGTGCTGGGAATGTGAATTATAATAAATCAATGTTCTTATCTGGACAGTTTACTTCTAGTAGAGAAAAAATAACCACTAGACAGGTTTAAGCCTTTTGAAAAGATTAGGAGAGACCTGGATAGCACAATGCAAGAGGAACTGCTGCTTCAGAAACGATTTATTTCTTTTATATATATATATATATGTGTGTGTGTAATAGTTTATTTCTACACCATTTTGCGACTTTTGCTATCTCAGTTGTAATCCCCGTGGGGATCACCACATCACCCGTGTGCCATCACCATAGTCCCGTGCACTTCCCTCCCCCCACCCCCCATTTTTGATCCCATTTCCTACTCCACCCCCACAAAATGTCTCTGGTATATAGCTGTTCATCATCATTATTATTCAGAAATGATTTATTTCTATCAGTCAACCCCACCTCAAAATAAAAGTTGTGCTCAGATATGTCCTTATCTGGCCTCTTGCTGTAAGGACAGCCCTGTCCTCAGGCACAGACGGCATCGCCACACGCCCCTGCACCCTAGTGCTGCTCAGGGAGCCCAGATGTCCTCTCAGCTCCTCTGGCCATCCCGAATCTCCCACCTATTATAAACTGCTTCCTCCTTCTTTCAAAATTGTGTTTGTCCCCTCAGTCCCATTCTTCTAAAATCCCCAAATTCAATTCATTTTGAAGCCATTGAATAAAATAAGTCTTTGTAATCTCCTTCCATAAAACACATAAACTAACATTTTGTTTCCTCCACTACTCACCTACTTAACCGCTAATGTTTGAATCTATACTGACATTTTGAAAGAAAGTAGAGTCTTTTCCAGTAACAACGAACGAGAATCTATGACCCAGAGTATTTCACCCACAACTTTTGGTTTTACTGGGAAAAGAGCTATGAATATTTATGTTTAACTGTAGAAAGGAGACATGAAATTTGGCACAAATTCACAGTCCTCTGTTTTATTCTGTGGTACCCCTGTTCTCTTACTAACCTGTCAAAACTGCATCTGGCACTATCCATACAGAAACTATTTTTTTAAGAATATATTTATTTAATTCTAAAACAGAAAATGGTTTAAATTAAATCACCATGATGTCTACATTCCAAAGGCTGTTTTACATACCCACTCTTAAACTATCAACATCTACAGAGTACCAGAAACTACATTCTTTACAACCATCTTAACCTGCACTCAAATCTTGTTTTTACTTATTTATTTTTTACATCATTCTTCATTTTGTACATTTTTCCATCTCAGATGTAATCCCTGTGGGTTTCCTCATACATAAACTATTAATCTGGGAAAGTGAATCCTCATTCTATTTATTCCCACTATTAGTCCCACTGTACAAGACGAGTTACTGTGGAGATTTACATAACTTTACTCTTATAAACAGTAAATTATAAAAGAATTATGAAGATGGATGGGGCCCTCCCTGGTGGCGCAGCCAGTTAAAGCACAGCACTGAGAAGCTAAAGCCACTTCCGCATGAGTTCGATTCCCGCCTGCCCCAGAGGTGACCACATGGCATGGCAGACCTCTCCTGACCCGCCCGCTGCTCCCCTCAGCAGTGTACTTCGTTGATCTGCCTGTTCTGCTCCCTGCTCTGTCTCTGGTGAAGCCTCTCGCTGCTCCTGAGCCTCTAGCCTGTACCCCAGTTCTGTATGTACAAATAAATAAATCTTAAAAAAAAAAAAAGAATTATGAAGATGGACTTAGTAAGGATGATAATAGATTAAGTTGTTTTGTCAGGTAAGACCAATACAGAAGAAAGGATTAGCAGTTTCTTTGCGAGTAAAGGACGCTCATCCTTCACAGAAGCTTTGTGCCCGTGGGACTCTAAAGAGATGGGCTGTGTCTCAGAGCTCTCTGGCCCTTTTATCTCTGCCGTCCCAACAGACACCAGCCTCCTAGGAACTTACCATTCTCTCAGCCCCTGAAAATACATCAACCATACCTGAGCAGATGACTCCTGCATCCTCCTTATGAAAGCAGTTGTGCTTCCCCCAGCCTCGGAACGGGCACTTCCACAGGTGAGACTCCGTCCCCGTGCACTGAAGCTCATGCAGCCAGATGGGTCCTGATCCCTCCCTGAAGTGAGCAGAGACCGTGGCGTTGAGGGCCTCTCCACAGCCCAGCTGTCTGCACACCACGTGGGCATCACGCAGGTCCCAGCCGCCATCACACACGGTGCCCCAGGAGCCCTGGTGCAGGATCTCCACTCTGCCGGCGCAGGGATGGCCTCCGCCCACCAGGCGGAGCTGTGGGCTGTCTGAGGAGGGAGTCAGGTGGAGGGTGGGGGTGGGGATGAATGGGCATCTATCCGGGAAGTGGAAGGCTTTCCTGGTCCTGGGAGCCCCTCACCCAAGCAGCTGGCCGGGCCCTCCCCTGGGGCTGCAGAGCCTGCTGGGCAGCAAGGGCAGCTCCTGTTTCCTATGGCAATGAGCAGGGCAGTAAGGTTGAAAATAGGAAAGAACAGAGAAGTGTAGCTGAGAACCATCTAGTGAGCAGTCAGAGAGTAGGTATAATCAGGTCCTGTCTGAGGATCTCTGATGTAGCCTCTGAAAAGATGTCCAGGAAATGTCAGAATCGGGGCTCTGAGCAGTTAATTGAGTGCAGAGTGGCTCTAAGGGGCTAGCAGCTGGTGGAGTCCTTATAAATCACACCCATTTCTATGCTATTGATTTAAAGGGAACTGTTGCGTTATCAGAATCCTCAGGAGGCATGTAGAAAGATAAGTCACATGACATAGTGAAAAGAAACGATATAAAAAACAGTTAAAAATGAAAAGAATTTGGGCCCTCCCTGGTGGCGCAGCGGGTTAAAGCACAGCACTAAGAAGCTAAAGCCACTTCTGCATGAGTTCGATTCCTGCCTGCCCCGGAGGTGACCACATGGCCCAGCAGACCTCTCCTGACCCGCCCGCTGCTCCCCTCAGCAGTGTACTTCCTTGATCTGCCTGTTCTACTCCCCACTCTGTTTCTGCTGAATCGTTTCGCCTCCCCTACACCTCTGGCCTACACCCCAGTTCTGTGTGCATTAATAAAATCTTTTAAAAAAATTAAAAAAGAGAATGGACAGATGAGAATTTAAAAAAAAAGGAAGTGGTAAATATAATTCTACAATATTAGCAGTTGTATTTAGAGTAAATGGATTAGATGCTTTAATTAAAAGAAAATCAAGATAAAACAACAAAATTCAAGTAAATGCTACCTATCTTACATTCAAGGGCAAAGAAAGCTGAAAATGAAATGATGGAAAAATACAAATATCATGTAAACAATGTTTAAAACACATTGGTGAATATCCCTAGACCAGATGAAAAGGAGTACGTGAATGAGAAGACAAATCCAAAACATTTCTGTGACTCCTTGTTCTGTGAGACAACCTCTATTAAAGTGGAAACTACGCATTCAGGAAAGGTGACAGGGAGCGTTAGATCCTGACTGCGTGCGCCAAGCTCAAGAAAGAGTCAGTGCCCTCTGGCAGCTGCTACCAGGGCTGCAGTTTCACAAGGAGATGGGCAGCTCGTGTGAGCTGACGCCGTCACGTGTGAGCCGGGGCTTGAGTATGTACTCTTGCAATATTTCTGAGTGCAGGATCTTGACATCTGGAGGGGGACAGCATCTGGAGCAGCCAGGCCCAAGGCCACACCTGAGACATGGGCTGACCAGGAGCTGCCTGACCATTGTCACTTCAGGGCTCAACCCTGACAGCTTGGGCGCTGGAGGTCAGGGGCCCAGGGGAGAGCAGATTCCATGCAGGAGTGGGCACTACAAGGGAAAAAAAAACCCTTAACAGGCACAGCACAGGGCTCTTCCTCAAAAGCAGACCCTTAGGCTGTTACAGACACGACAGAGAGACAGAGACCCCACTGGGGCGGGGGTCACTGGCCAAGAGGGGCCCATCCTGGGATCTCAGAGGCCACATTCCTCTGACTGCAGTGCTTATCTCAGTCCCCCCAGGGGCCCCAACATTTGCATCAGCTTTTCTGTTACCCCCTCCCTCCAGGTGAAGGACCATGGAGCCAACATATAGGAAGGAAAAAACCTCAGGCAGGGAGACAAGAGTCCTGCCAAAACCAAAGCTGTGGAAGATGGCAGTAAAGCAGAAAAACGTTTGAGCTGTGGGTTTGTGGGGAAGAATAAAGCACTTCAAATTCATATGTAGATGCAGGTGCACGGTTATCTTGGGATATAATTAAAGTTTCTATTGGGAGGGTTTTCTTTCAAGGCATCCATATCTGTGCCCATCATAGACACGGACACACACACCACCACCACTTCACCACAATCCAGTCAACTGCCTGATAGTATGATTCTTTCTCGAAAGTTGACTTCCACTGGCAGACATGCTCCTGCCCACAACTCACCCTTCCCATACGCTTTAAACTTTCCTTTAGAACTCTCTCTTTCTTTTTCTTTCTCCCACTCTCTCTCTTCCTTAAATTGAAGGATCAGAAACCCACAATCCTGTTGGGAAGAGATAGTACTGGGTGCAGGAAGGACTCTCAAAACACAGACTTAGGAAGTCACTCAGCCATAATCCATTAAAGAAAACTGGGAAGTCACCAGACATTTTCTTTGTTTTGAAGTGTTATTGGGGAGAGCTGAACACAGATTCTGATCAACCTGAGAACAAACTTTGAATCCCATTTTTATCATATTGGGATAAACCAAGGGGCCAACAGAGAGGAGCTGCCTTTGCAATCCCAGGGCTCAGACCACAGCCTGAGAACGAACCCCGTATCCCTGCTGATCTTAGGGAGGGGGGCTCTGTTTTACCTTGGGTGCTTGCTAGGGCAGCAGATAGGAGAAAAGCCAATCCTGGGAGAAAGCAGTGTCCAGTCATGGTCGTTGTGATCCTCATTATCAGGTAACTGCCTCCGTTTCCGCAAATACACAAAGAACCCAGTTAGTCCTTAAGGGGGGCGCTCACCGCAAAAGGGGTTTATATAGTCCCACCCCCTAACTTTGCCATCTTCCAGGAGCCAATAGAAACCCTGCTGAACATTATCCTTGTCATCAGATACTCCAAAAATGGAAACTTTCTGAGGTTCAAACACCAATTAGATGCTCTATCTAAAATACCTCCTTATATGAGGGGCAAAGCTTTCTGACATCAGGTGTCAACTGTCTCCGAAGCGGAAACAGAAAAGCTAAATTAAAGAAAGATTTGTGACTGTCTTTCCCCCACCCCAGGAGGTCTGGTTCAATGACTACTTCAGCCCAGCTGCTGGGAGGGTCAGACGGTACTGATGGTTTCTGGGAAGTTCTACCACCCAATGCCCAGGTAAAGAAGGCTTTTGTTAGAGAAACCTATGTCTCCTGTGTCAACTGCCCAACATGTTGTGGCTCAAAGAAAAACAACACTCTAAAGCAACAACAAAAAGTGAGGTGAGTGGAAAACTGGTTTAGAACGAAAAGTTTGTGGGGGAGAATAAATTGAGATTGGCATTAAGGGAATGTGATAACTAGCCTTATAGGGTTGGCTCCCCTTTTTCTACTTGTGGCTGGCAAGAAAAAGCATCATGAAATCCAGGGCTTCTGATGCAACTGGTATGAGCTATCTTTTCTTCCTTCACTTCTAACAACTTCTTTGCCCCCAAAACTACCATGGCCAGTACAGACACTTCACCAGGAGTAACCTATACTTCCCTAGGACATGGGGGGATTACACATTATAATGCAATTACAGGATTCACCCCCATTTCAAATGTAGCAACTGCACCCGGCAGCCCAGTCTGTACTGGTTAGAAGGAGTGCCCTTCTGCTCCAGGGTCCTCATTGAAGACATCTCAGTCCCTCGTTCTCCCCTTCCTACTTTCATTTTCATATGAGCTACTTAGTGAACTTTCATATTCTCTTCTGGCCAAATAAGATGGTGTCATTACAGTGCTTAGAAAAGGAATGAGTTGGACACAAATTGCTTTAACTCACACTTGCTGTCAACAAAACAGCATTCATCATTTTATCACTTAACAATTATTTTTTATTAAAATGTATGACAAGTGTCACTGTGTCTATTTAAGGTATATGTATTAATATGTTTATATATGTATCCTATAAGTGTTACTGTATATGTATTTATACATGGTGACTACTACCATGTTAGTTAACACCATTATCATGTTCCATGATTGTGTGTGTGTGTGTGTGTGTGTGTGTAGTAGAACAGCAAAGATCTAGTTTCAGAGCAACTTTGAAATTTATAATATAATGTTGTCTATGCTCACCACACTGTGCGTTAGAACTCCTGGACTTATTCATCTAGTCCTTAAAGTCCCTTACCCTTTAAAAGCATCCTTCGATATCCCTCCCTACCCCCCGGTAATCTCTACACATTGTTTATACGAGTTCAGTCATTTTCAGATTGCACATACGGTGATATCATGCAATATCTGTCTTTCTCTGTCTATCTTATGATTCAAGTGTACAACATTTGCTCTTTTAATTTCATTCTATTTATAGTATTTCTTTATAAGCCAGGTTCTTAATATGAATAAGTCAATAAATGCAGTGTATCAAGTTTTCTTCTCTTATACTTACTACTTATGTTCTTTAAGGAGGTCATTGTTTACCCTTTTTGCTTCCTCAAGGCACAAAAGTTTTAAATAAGCTTGACCAACTTATTTAAAAGAAACTGAGGTGACTAGAAGCTGGGCCTCCACGCCCATGAGGAACAGCCCACTCCCAGTTCACTCTGCTTTGGTGGGAGGGTCCTGGGTAACAGCACCTCCTCCTTGGCTGACTCTGAATTACATTAGATATTTGCTGAGTGTTGTGTGATGGCAAAATGTTTGAGGCTTTCAGTGTCTGGGTGTTAACACTGGCTGACCAATAACTCAAGGGACCAGAGGCTCAGCCCTGCTCTTTGCTTCTGTCTGAGAGTCCTCACTGCAATGGGAGCTCTGCAACACTTTCACTATAGGATGAACCCCACTTTTCTAAGATCATTCTCAGTGTTTGGCCTGTCTGTGATAGAATAGTGCTGAACTGTATTCATATGGAAAAATTGCTCAAAGTTAAACATTCTAGATGAACTACTTTGATTTAATGTAGTAAGTTTCACCCTAATTACTCTTACACAGTTGGCCCTCAACCACACTTCTATTTAAGGAAATAGGTGATTCATCTGTTTTCTTGCCTCCTCACAGGCTACTCAAGGTTTACTTTGCCCGGGTTCAGGTATGCTCCAGGTGGCACTCTTACTTCGACCAGGGACTCTAACTTGGTCTCTGCCTCCGAAAGAACCTGGTGTGTTTAGGGAAAGTGATCAGCTTCTGTTGCTGCTCCCTAACATGACTGTGATAAATAGCTGAAGAGAGAGGCTGAGCTCCACCAGTGGGCACTTCATGGGCTCAGCTCAGGGCCTTGTGTCTCTACTTTAGCTTAGTATTTTTCAATTTTGGATTTAAGGTATTGCTTGGGAGTATTTGAAAAAGAATAATTGTACATGTGGCTGGTGCATTTTGGAAAGTTTTCCATTATTTCATGGACATTCTTGGTAGTACATCTTATTTCCAAAAGTAGTTATTTTAAAAAGACCATAAAACCTTGGTGAAATCTTCTAAAGTTAGAATGCTGTATGCTCACTGTACTGACCTGCAGGTGACATATTTTAAAATGCCGCTGTAGTGGTTAGTGAAGGAGAAGGGTATCCAGACAGAATAATTACATTGACTTGCCTGCTTGCCTTCCTCTAACCCCCAATTCTCTCTCTGGATACAATGGAAGCAAATAGGCAAGGATGACTGGGAATGGGAAGAAACAGAGCCACTTCCAAAGGGTTTGTAATGGTGAAGCTCGATTGTCATGGACTTAAATGAATATAGTCAGAGGAGGGAATAGAAAAGAGTTGTTGATGAAAAGGGTAGAGACCATCAGTATTTATGAACACCATTAGTTCAGGGCCATACACCAGGTTTTTATACCGTTCCAGAAAATGCAATATTTTCTGACTATAAAGGAGGCAAGAGCATAGGATGAGGGATATGATATGTGGATATTTCGATGGAGATTTCCCTTGGGGGAGAGGTGTGATTGAATACTGAATTTTCCAAGATCAGTGGAGTCAATGTACCTGGACTCTTAACAACACTTGTCCTTGAAGCTCAGGGTGTTGATTATGAAGAGTGTCCTGTCATCACAGGCCCAAGTAAAAACTCTGCAATAATGAAGAGGAAAGAATTCTCATTTATTAGGGAAACAGTATCACAGAGGATTCTTTGAAGATTTATTTGATCCAAAATGGTGCTTCATGGGGATAAGCTCGACATCATCATACCCAGGGTCTTCTTGTGTCAGGACCAGTGGGAGTCCTCTCCCTCCCATGCCAGAGATGATAGCTTCTCCAGGAGATGGCAGAGAGAGGCCTGCAAGGTGAAGGAGAATGATGATGAGCGAAGAACAGCTGGGAACACTCTCACACCTATCTAGCCTGATTTCATAAGGAATGGGGCAGGTGGTGACTCCCTGAGACTCCTCAGGGCCTCAATACCAGCCCAAGCCAGACCCAGAAATCTTCAGGAGAGCAATCTGGATTCTTTGTTAGAGGCCATACAGGTGCAGCTGAACCACCACCCCATGACCTCCTGCTTTCCAGGCCCCAGGCGATCACACATAAGCAGAGGCCTAGTCCTAGGAAGGAAGGTTTTCATCTGTCAACTGAGACAATGTGAGAAAATTATTTCTTACTTTCATTCTACAGCTGAGACTTTATGACTGCTTATAGGGCCTTTGAACATCTGCACTAATAACACTCAACCCCAAATTTAAACATCTGGATATAGGTTTCTCCAAACAAATATTTCTAGCTTTCAAATTTAATTTACATGCTATTGAAACTTTCCAGATTACTTCTCATAATCTGAAAAGCCTCCAAATTTATTATCAGATCATGTATCTCAATCTGGGATGTGAAAAAATCAGTATAAAGCTTCTGCTACTCATATAGTATGTCTGCTTTGAGGTGATGGAGGAAATGGACATGAGAACACAATATGTTTCTCCCCTCAGAAGAGATGAAACAGACACCTCAACCCTGTCTAGAGGACCCCAAATGTTCACAGTAAAGATAAACTGACTAGAAACAGTCTGCAGGGGAGGGGAAGAGAGGAACACAAAAAAGGATGGCGGAGACCACAAAGGACTAAGGTGATGGTGCACTGGTGAACTGGTGGTGGGAATTCTATGGGGGCTACATCTGATGTAAAATATATAAAAATAAAGAAATTATATATCAAAAAATAAAGTTAAACTGATTATTGACAATTCCCAATTCATCCTCCCCATGAGAAGAAATGAGGCTACTGGAGACAGAGCTGACCACTCACCTGGCTGGGAATCCCCAGTACCACTTTCCTCCTCTGGGAAAAAATAATTCCCACTCATTCCAGTGGAAGAAGGACTTTCAGGAACAGGAAGCTCTTCAGTATCATCATAACAGTCTCCTGTGGCACTGGCACGGTGTCCCGGAGGCTCTGGAAATGGCTGAGGCTGGCTGTGGGTCTCAGTCCCTCCTGCTGCAGAGATACCAATAGCTGATATGTATAAGCTCTAGATTTTAGGGCTGTCTCTGGGCCCTGGGATCAGAATATATTTTATCTCAATATTTTCAGAAATTATTTGCCTTTTCTGAGTATTCTAGTATACTTTCCTAACAGGGCCTCGAACACTATAAAGTATGGACAAAAGCTATTGTAATATGAAACCAGGCACTACAGTCAAGCACATGCCACAGAGTTGTAACATATAACATGCACAAGTCAGTGTCTTGGAAGGAATCTGGACAGGGAGAACCCACTTGCCCACATGCTCTGAGTGGGTGGAAGAAACACAGAGCAGGCAGGAGAAGGAACCTGGGTACCTCTCACTCACAGACTGCGATCCCACCAGGCCCCACCAGTGGACCTGGGTTTCAATCCACTGAAGGCTGTTTTGATCTAAGGACCCAATTTCCAGGATCCCTCTGATATGTCTCATGTCTCAATCCAAGAACTATCCATCATCACTATCTGGGGAAGATCCAGGAGAAACATTCTCTTCTCTTAGGTTCCTTGTCAGTAAAAGCTTCCTGTCGCTGTTAAGTACTAGCACCAGCAGTCTGTGATCTGGGGCTGAGCAAAATTAATTTTGGGGGGCTCAGTATGTACATGGGCCACAAATATCATCTCAAGAGTAAACTGTACTTCCCAATGCTCACCATGGAAATTCTCTGAATGTCAGTTTCAGATAGTAAAATATGAAATATGAAAATATGGCCTTTGAATCTGTAAGAATTAGATGCATGCCTGCAACTGATTAGAAGTAGCTGTGGACACAAGAAATGGGTCTGCTATTTTCCTTTCTGAGGCGACAGAGTAGGCAGAGAGAGCAAACAGTTTTTGTGAAGAAGAAACAACACACAAGCTCTCTTCAGATGAGATTCCTCCTTCTCACCCCCACCATCAAGGGATGACCTGTCTGTCCTACCTGGGGAAAATCCAGGGTCTCCCTTCTTCTCATTGTCTCCTGTGGAAGATGGCAGCCTCATTGCTGAGTCATAAGATAGGTGTCCTGGTGGGGAGGAGAACATCACAGACAGAAACATTTGCCATAGCCGGAGGCCCAGTGTCAAAGTTCAGAAGAAATCTAAAGGCTTCAGAGTTGAAGGTCCAGAGGGGAGCTCCTGCCTTGGAGCAGGCTGAGAAGTTGAGTCTGTACTGGCGAAGGGAACCCCTGATCAACTCAGGGACAGTGGGGAGGGCATGGGGCACACCTGATCTGTCCGAAAGATCCTCTTCTGGGACAGCATAGTTATCAATCTCCTCGTACAAGGCCTCACTGCTGACATCCTTCAAAGCAGGTGAGGCTGTGGAAAGTGAAACAAATCAGAAAAAGTACTGGAGATAGGCCCTGTACAAACAGGCAAGGTCCATGGTGCTCTCCAGAGCTCACCCCTGGGGGTTCCCTCTGGGCAGCCAGAGCCCCTTCCTGAGCTTTGTGGGACACAGCCACTACTGTGACCCTACACTCAGCACCCACTGACATTGTGTACTAAATCATAATTTTTGAGAGGTTCAACATTCATGCAAGTATTCAGCTGTCACAAATTCTGAAGGCTGCTGTAGAGAAGGTGCTTTTTGTCCGACTGTGAGGGTGGAGACAATACTGGAGCACTTTTTTGGTATCATAACTGGCTCAACACCTCCCCACGACTTCCCTTCATTATCCCCAAGGCCCACCTCTGTGCTCTGCTCTCCCTCTGTGCAGCTGAATGCCCAGGATGACCAGGACCAGGAAGAGAAGGACCCCCAAGATGATGCAGAGGACCCCGGGCAGGGAGAGGACGCCAGGGCCAGGAGCTGGGTCTGATCTGCTGCCTGAGGACAGAAGAGGGTGGTGAGGTTTCAGAGAAGCTTGTAGATCCGGGACAGCCCTTCCCCGTCACCAGTCTCTTAATCCCAAATTATGTCCACCCAAATCCTGCGCTCAGCTGTGTTAACTGTCATCTGCATCTGGTTCTCAGGGATCTCTATGAAGTAAAAGTGGATGAGGCTGTGGCGTATCACAGCTGCAGCAGTTAACACCTGAGCATGGGTCTGTCCTACACCGACAAAGTTAATTTTCTAGAAATACGTAGGTTTCACTGTGCATTCACTAAAAATGTGGGTGTCTCCTGATTCTCACGGCTCGGAGCAGAATCACTTACCTGCATGGGTTGTCCTCAC